ACAAAACCCAACTTCTCTTCTTACCAAAATACCATTTGTTCCTAAACTTTTACAACATTTTTATTCAATTCTTCCATTTTTTTTTGGCTTTCTTGATTTAGACAAACTTTATTGAAATCAAGCAGCTGAATTCTTTTATGTAGTTTTTTCTTGGTTCTTTTGTAGCTACAGTTCTTTTTATATAATCTGAAAGAAAAAAGCTCAGACTAGTACTACTAATGGTGACAAAGTTTAGTATTTTTATTTTGGTGGTGTTGTTGAGGTTATTTTCATTTGGTTCTGTAGCCTCAAGGGAAATTCACAATTCTGGTCTTAATCTGAATTCTAGTGCTTCTGGTATTGAATTCCCTCAACATCCAAGTTTCAACTCAGTTACTGCTTCTGGAAATTCAGATTGCAGTTATGGAACATCCAAGAAATCAACAACCACCCATGTAATAACTCAAGAAGAAAATAGATCTGATGAAAAAGAAGATGAAGATTTAATGGTATCTAAAAACCAGCCAAGAGAAGCAGTCAAGTTTCACCTAAGGCACAGATCAGCTGGTCAAAATATAGAGGCCAAAGACTCAATATTTGAGTCCACAACAAGGGACTTAGGTAGAATTCAGACATTGCATACAAGGATTGTAGAGAAAAAGAATCAGAACTCTATTTCAAGGCAAACAAAAAATAGTGAAAAACCTACACAATCTTCTTCATTTGAATTCTCAGGCAAGCTCATGGCAACATTAGAGTCAGGTGTAAGTCATGGTTCAGGGGAGTATTTCATGGATGTTTTTGTCGGTACACCTCCTAAGCACTTCTCTTTGATTCTTGATACTGGTAGTGATCTTAATTGGATTCAGTCTGTTCCTTGTTATGATTGTTTTGAACAAAATGGTCCTCATTATGATCCTAAGGATTCTATCTCTTTCAAAAATATAAGCTGCCATGATCCTAGGTGTCACCTTGTTTCATCTCCTGACCCTCCACAGCCTTGCAAGTCTGAAAACCAGACTTGCCCTTATTACTATTGGTACGGAGACAGCTCGAACACGACTGGTGATTTCGCGCTTGAGACGTTTACGGTTAATCTCACAACCCCTAGTGGGGATTCAGAGATCAAGAAGGTGGAAAATGTGATGTTTGGTTGTGGACATTGGAATAGAGGCTTGTTTCATGGTGCTGCTGGTTTGTTAGGACTTGGTAGAGGACCGCTTTCGTTTTCGTCTCAGCTTCAATCTTTATATGGCCATTCTTTTTCGTATTGTTTGGTTAATAGGAACAGCAATTCTAGCGTAAGCAGCAAATTGATTTTTGGTGAAGATAAGGAACTCTTGAAACACGCGAATTTGAACTTCACTTCACTGGTTGGTGGGAAAGAAAATCATTTGGAAACATTCTACTATGTGCAGATAAAATCAGTTATAGCTGGAGGTGAAGTGCTGAATATACCTGAGGAGACATGGAATTTGTCTACAGAAGGTGTTGGTGGAACAATCATTGATTCAGGAACTACTTTGAGCTATTTTGCAGAACCAGCATATGAGATTATAAAACAGGCATTTGTTAACAAGGTGAAGCACTATCCTGTTTTAGAAGATTTTCCAATTTTGAAACCATGTTACAATGTTTCTGGAGTGGAGAAACTTGAATTGCCTTCATTTGGGATAGTTTTTGGTGATGGAGCTATATGGAATTTTCCAGTAGAGAACTACTTCATCAAACTTGAACCAGAGGATATTGTTTGTTTGGCAATGTTAGGAACTCCTCATTCGGCCATGTCGATAATTGGCAACTACCAACAGCAGAATTTTCATATCTTATATGACACCAAAAGGTCAAGGCTGGGATTTGCACCAACAAGATGTGCTGATGCCTGATAGTGTTGTTTAGCTTTTTCGGGTTGAAGGTGGAAAACTGTAAACATAATTGGGTTAAGGATTGTGCTCATTCTTTTGCTGATTTTTGAACTAGTATAGGTACAATATGTAGGTTTTTCTCCCCTTTAATTTTAGGTGTTTAGATGATAAGAATATTATTATACATTGTTTGACAGGAAACTGATTACAATTTATGTAAGGAAACTTTTAAGAGCTTTTCGCATATCTGAATGACTGCTTTTACAATTTACTACTACATTTTTCCAATCTAAACTTGGTTATTCTAGTTAGGAATGTCTCCAAAAAATAACTTGCATTTATTTGCTGTTGAGTTGCAGCCCAGAGATTGAATGGTCAATTCAGAAATCTTATAATTAATTTGTGTACTTAAAATGGCTTGTTGGTAAAGTTGTAGTTTATGCAGCCGCTTTTCTTTTTAGTTTCCCACCCGATGTCCGGTACTCACATTAGGACCCGACTAAATCCGGATTCGCGTCGGGAAGTCCCACATTGGGGAGTAAAGTGTTCCCTAACAAAGACGACTCCTTACTCATGAACTCGAACCCGAGACCTCTGATTAAGGATGAAGGAGTGCTTACCCCTCCACCACACCGCTTACAATAGCCCAAATTCTCTTTCAGTAGTACTTTTGTTAGTCAGATTGGATAGCATCTTCTGAATGCTACAAATTAAGGCGAGACTCATAATCACAAGCATGCATCATTTTCTGGTTTAGAGCTGTTTCTAGGTGGTGGTTCATGGTTGGAAATGGTGTCCATGTTTTCGGTTTTGTCTGATTCTTTTATTCTACCAAATTTAGAATCCTCATTTCTCCTCAAGAAAATGCTAAATTTTGATGAATCAGAGTTTTATGCTCCAACGATAGCGGGGGCTTAAATTGTTGAAGCATTTTTCTTGATATTAATTGTTGTTCTTTCTTGTAAGTGGTTCCTACACTGCCTTTTTTTTTTCTTTTGAGTTTCGTAGGGTCCTTTGTCTTCAGAACAGCTATATTGGGGTGATATTTTTGATTCTTACAATTCCTCGACCTGTTTTATTAAGGCTGGGTTTGAGAGAGTGTGTGATATGGTCGATCTAATTATAACTAGCCCAATTACTTTGTATCTGAATGAGATCACAAGATGTTATGTCTAGTAAGGAGACTTCATCAACAATTTCACGTGAGAGCAGAAGCAGATTAGGTTTTTAATCCAATGGATATGAAGCACCACCGCACTCAGTGGCGGATGTATAGTATAATTACTGAACCCAGAAACTTTTGCGGAGACTTTGTATTTTTATTAAAAAATCCATTAAATATCTATAAATATATGAATGTGAACTCAGTTATTATTGTAAATTAATTTAAAATTACAATAGAAACTCATAAACTTTAAATCCTAGATCCGCCTCTAACCACACTCACTATATTTTGTGGCAATAGTTATGTATTATCTCTAAAATACATATATGTAGTTTAAGTTGAAGTCATTGGATGCGGATGCACTTGCTGCCAGAGTTCCACCTCAATCACTACACGACGGCTTCTCGTTTGGGGCATAGATGGCCTAATTGTTGAAATCCTGGCGACTTGTGATATCAAAATGGTAGGAATAGCCTATTTTGCTGGTCTAATATAGTGTCCAGTTGCTGGAAACAAAAACTTAGTGAACAGACGATATCACATTTAATCGAAACAGTTGCCTTTTGTAGATTATACTGGGAGTTCAAACTACACAACTGGAAGGTTTCTGTTTGCAAGAACTTGGTGTAATGAATTGACCGTCGAAACTAGTCTGGTCGCAATTCTGAATTTGACTGCAGGTTTATTCATTAGAAAATATAGTTCTAGTCCATAGATACATTTAGGGACAATCCGTGATTATGCCCTTACCTTACAAATATTCAGATTTTGAAATAACAAAAAGATTATATTTCTAGTTAAAGTCAAATTTGGATCAAAATGACTAGTATGATATAGCACATGTATTTCTCCCAAAATTGAAGAATTCGACTAACCTTGTTATCCATATTAGTTCGTATAGTTTATCTTAGGATAGATGTGAGGGGTTATGCTCAAAGTCTGCTAATCACTTCGTGTAATGGCTTTGATTGGATGATAGATCCACTTGCGTGTATTAGTTAAAATAAAAATTGGAAACCAGAACTTGAGACTTGCACCTATGACTTCTTTTTTCTTTTCCACGAACTATGAGTTATTCATTACGTGTAAATTTAGTCAAACTATAAATTTTATTGGAAGAGACTAATGACAATGACGATAGAAGAGACTTACAGAGCAGCGGAGACCACAAAGATAACGTTCTTATGTTACACTTGGACAAGATTCCACAGTAAATACCCTCTTAACTCGTCAGAGCTGCTTTTCTCAGTGCATTTGACGGAGTAAGAGGAAATTGGCTCGGACACCAGACTGCCCATGCCCGCCCATTTTGCTTCGGCCTCAATGGAATGACCCTCTTAGTTATGCTGCGCTCTGATTTGAGTTCTCACGTCCGCTTTTCTCCGCCCACAACCCAATAAGGTGGCTTTGAGCTTGAGTAACAACTAATGGTTTGGCGAAGTTAATTTCATGAATGATCATCAAACAAAGCATATCTTAGTAAAGTCATAAAACTAAATTTTGTAATAAAAAAAATACATCAGCTATCTCTATATGTTACATAGAATGAAATTTGCTAAAAGTTCATCAATCCTTTGTCGAAAATTAAAACTAAGTCAGCCACATATGATAAAATTGCCAAAGAAGTAACATCATGCGAATAAAACAAATTGATATTCTCGTCACGGTATATGTGCCATCACTTATTGCATTTCTTCCATTTCTTACCCCATTTAATCCACATTTCCCCCATTTCTGTAGAATATCGTATGCCGTGTAACCTGCTCTAGCAATCCAGAGTTTCGATCATAGTCAACTTTACAGCAGTACAGAATCAATAAATGATAAAAATCCACACCTTGTGTAGAAAAATAGAGTTTCTGAAATCAATTAGACTACCCCAGGAAAGGATGAATTAAAGGTTATTTACCAAGGTAATCCAAAGAGGCGTTAATTTGCAGAAATAAAAATGAAATAGAACATGACTTATAAGTAACATTGATTTCAAAACTGGAAGAAACTGTTTACAAGATTTAACAGCAAAATTCAAGAAACTTTTGTCAGAAATAAAAATAAAAGAAGAAAACAACCGAAAAAACAAAAACCATCATCATACTACTAGTTAAAATGAGTATTCAAGTCCAGTTGAACTGCTGAAAGTTCCCCCCTCTTTAACTTGACGAAAATATAAGAATAGTAAAATCCTATTCGTGAACTCTTATATTTAGTCTTCTTAGCCATATGGAGTGAACAGTCATGTGGAACAGATCAAATCTTTTGGGAGGTCCATTAATCACAAAATGCCTCTGAACTTGCTTCACTCTCCTATGCATTCTCAAGTACTGACTTTGTGAAATGCTCATTAGTATCTTCTTGATATTTGGTATGTCCTTCACAGCCACTGTCACAGAAAATGATTTCCAATTCAGGACATCACTAAATGGTGGCACATAACTATCTGAAATCAAGACAGGAATACATTCTGCATATATTGCTTCCACAACTCTTGGACTTGCAACTTCATATCCACTTGGGCACAAACAAAACTTGCTCTTCTTTAACATGGATTCATAAGATTTGCTTCTTGGAAGTTTTTCATAAACCAACACATCTTCATCTTTCCCTTTCCATTGTTTTAGCAGATGGTGTCTAATGTTACCATGTAAACCACCCGCGAAGAATGCAAGAATTGATCTTGTTGATGGTGAGGGACCTCCTATTAGTCCCTTGATATCGCCCGTCTTGAGATGGATTTCCGGTAGAGATACATCTTTTATAGGATTAAAACCTTCTGAGGTATTGGCATTGCATAAAACTCTTATGGAGTTGTTGAAGAGATGTGGAACGTATGAAGTCGAACGCGGTCCCTGGAGATCAATACAAATGTTTTTCATCAAAAAGGCAAATTTGAACTGTCAACTATGTCTCAATCCTAAACTAGTTGGGATCGATGGTTGGATGCTATCCAATGTGTCACCACTCGAGGCGTCACTAAGGGGCTGTTTGTTTCAAGGAATTAAGTGAGTTATCCCAGTCTAAACTTTGGGATTAAATTTATTTCGTGTTTTATTGTAGGTATATATATTAGCTAAAACCAATATTATTTTTATACCAAAATCTTGGTATAACTTATCCCATATGAAAGGTGGGATAAGTTATCCAGGTTATACTCCTGGCTTTACTCCTTTCCGCATCGGGGCTGATAATTGGATAGAATCTCCGTACCTTAAATAAAGAAAGGGGGCGTATAAATTGGGATTTTGGCTCGCGATAAAGCTAGGGCTTGGCCGATTTTGAACCAAACGACGCCTAAGAGCATTTAAGATAAATAAAGTAACACAGTACTTGTATTCCCTTGCTTACCCAGTCATGACAGGAAAGCATGAAGTGATCAGCACCAAGACTTCTGTTCCAAAAGGTATGTCTTGAAGAAATGACTTTAACATAATCAGCAACAGTTGTACCAATGGTATGCATATCATGGGCACCAGGGACATAGAGGTAATGAACCATCACAACTACACTAAATGGCAGAAAATACACCATAGCCTCATCTGGATCTTTTGTTCTGTAGAAATTTCCCTTTTCCATTTCATGTATAAACCTTCCTTCTGTTGAATATATGCTCCTACATGGACCATTATGGAATATTGGAGGTTCTCCTTCCTCATACACATATGCCTTGAAGTTCTTCTCCATTTCAAGATAGCTCCTACAATATTGTTGCTAAAGTTATAAATAAATGCCAATGTAAAATGAACACCGGCGGCTATGTTACTCGGACTTTCCGAAAAATTTTCTGGGTGCGTGTCAGATCCTCCAAAAGTAGTATATTTTTTAAGGATCGGGTGCGGCGGCATTTTGAAGAGTCCACGCAACATAGACCGGCGATATTGGTGATCTAGTTTAAGTTTTATGCGCTAACATTATAATGAGTAACATGTTAAAAATTGTAATTGGCATTCCATATGTACATATTAAACTACACTGATAGCGTAAAAAATCTTTTCACCGTTAGTGTATATAACTTAATCAGATTGTGAGGTTGAATCAATACCTGTGGAAGGAATTTGCGTTATGGTACATGGGGCCTTGAGGAACATAATCAGGGTCCTGATGGCTAGATATCATACTCCCATTTCGAGCAGCTTCTCTTATGGAAGATCTGGCTTTTGCCAAAATGGCTTCAACCCTTTCTAACCTGCTGTACATTTTAACTACCCCTGCAGTTGCATTATTACCATGTTCTTCTCTTTCAATTGATATTTCATCCTTCTCATTCTGTGACTCTCCTTCCTTTTATATACATGATCGCAAAACACAAAGAAGAAGAAAATAAATTAGTATCGAGTTTAAGTTCTATTCATTGATTGACCGTATAAAAAGTGTTACACAATCATGTTACTTATAAGGTAAAAATAGTACTACTGTAACTAACATGTTTAAGTACCCCTGTAGTTGCATTATTACAATGTTAACTAAAAAGTTTATGTTCTGTGCACTAACTGTGTAAAAGGTACTACTCAATCAAGTCACTTTAAGGTAAAACTTGTAACCAACCTACCATCATCGGTTGAACTCCATTGACAACAATAACAACAACAACAACAACAACCTAGTATAATCCCACTAGTGGGGTCTGGGGAGGGTAGTGTGTACGCAGACCTTACTCCTACCCTAGGGTAGAGAGGCTGTTTCCTATAGACCCTCGCCTTCCTCCCTCCAAGAACTCCCCACCTTGCTCTTGGGGTGACTTGAACTCCATTATATATAACTGAAATCCGTAGTAAACATACATAAGAAAGAGCATACAACAAGAAAACAAGGGGAGAAGTGGGCTTTACTTGGGGAGGTTGATGAGGAATTGAGTCTTCAGTTACCAATGAGTTGTTAAAAGGAGAAGTAAAAGATGGAGCCTCAGCTAGGCCAACTATCTGTAAATGCTCATCTTGTTCTTCATAACTACTTAAAGACCTCAAAGAATAAGAGGTCAAAATTCCAACAGACTTAATCCCATTCCAAGAAGAAGAAGAAGAAAATGATGACACAAAAGAACTACCTAATAATGTACAAGCAAGAATTGAAACCAGAAACAAAGGGATGAAAACCAAAAGAGCCAAATTAGAAGACAAAAATGAAGGCAACTGCAGCTTCTTGAGACACCACATTTCTAAAACTAAACTATTTTTATGGCCTAACCAAAAGTGCTTTACTTCTTTAGTACTGCAAAATATCAGAGGAAATAACGAGATACGATTTTGTTAGTCAGTGAACATTCTGAGATTCATTACTTCACTGCAACATATTCTTTGCTGCATATGTGCATTATTCTTGCACATCATGTGTTTAAAATAAGCCAAAAGATGCATTTGCTAAATAGCCAGCAGCTTTATGGGGATTTTCGTCTAGCAAAGTTTCCTTAAAGTTCAAGTCTCCTTATACTCAAAGTCAGTTGTGTTACTTTTATAATTTTTTAATACTTCGAGTGATTTTACGGTGTGCCGACATTAGTTGTGTGAGACTTCGTTTTATCTCCACATATTTGTAGACTCGTATCTTACACATCCGGGTCCACAAAATTCTGGGACTACAAAATTGTGAGACAAAAAAGAGGTCTCATACAACTAGAGTCAGTTATGTGAGGCACAAAATAAAAATTTTCTTGTACAATACTGATTTTCGTTAGTAACTAATGAATATAAAAGTTCTTTTGGCCAAATTTCCATATCTGCTCATAAGAAAGCGAATATGCAAGTGATCTGTACAGAAATCAAATGAAGTGAACATGGCTCTTTCCTCTTTCGGTTATATGAACATAGAGTTATTGACATTTACTTCGCTTTAACTTTATATATTTTAAAATTTTCTATTATTTTGATCAAATAATTTCAAAATTTTAATTTTAAACATTACTAAAAGGCGACCTTTACTCACGTTTGGCTTACTCAAAATGCAACGTAAACATTCATTTAAGATATCACCCTAAAGTCAAAATCTTTATTTCCTTTTAATAATTGTACAATTGAACTATTCACGAGGCAAAATCGCCTCCAACTTGTGAAATTCATGATGATATAGCAAATACCAAGAATTATAAGATGGACTATATATCACGAAAATCAATCAATCTTAAAAGCTTATTTATCACAGCAGTAGTAATATTTTGACCAATAGTAAGTTGACTAAAGTATCAATTACACTTCTAAATGCCCCGAGATTGCAGCTAAAAGGGTCCGTTACCGTAACGCAAATTAATTAGCAATCAATATTTAACAGCTATATAATAAATTCAGCAGTCCAAGGCGCTCATTTCCCCCCCTTTTAGTTTACGTCTGGAATTTAACTATTCAAACCAATATATATGTCATGGGTTTTACAAATGCGTAATTTTTTTTAACAAAATTCCCAAATGCCAATTTATATTTTTAAGGTTTAGATATTCACAGAACTTGAGAATTTTGTCCCCGTCAATCACATGACCTAACGTAGCACATAGTTTCGTGAGATTAAAACTTGAAGCCCAGTGGTCAGAAAATTGATTCAGCCCAATAAATGGCAGCATTTAGCTCAATTTCCTTTTATTGGTACCCTTTTGGGAATTCATTAAAAAATTAGTAGTACCAACTACCAATGGACTACATTTTTTCTATATGAAAATGGAGGAAAACAAGTTTTTGAGACGGTGTATATCTGCCTATATATTTTCTATATACAGTAAACCCTCTCTATAACAGTCTCGTTTATTCCGATATTTTTTTGTTTTTATAGTAAATGACTGTTATATACCTATAACAACATTTGACGTTTAAATATATTTTGGCTGTTATAAATAAAATTATCCAAAATCGATTATTTTTTCTTTTTTAATGTTACTACATATAAAAGATAAGAAAATTATTCAAATTTAAAATCTCAAAAGATATGCATATTTCACTAGGTAAATATTGAAGAAAGATAATACATTATTAATAAATTTATAACTAAACGTATAAAGATTTAAACTCTAAGGCATACATTTTAAAGCTACCTAGAAAAATAAATTCTTTCAAGATTTATAGAAGAACTTTGTAATTATAACTTGTTTCGTAGATTTCATTCTCTCGCTAGCGATATAATGCTTGAATTCGCAAAGGTTTGTCCAAATTTTCAGCAAAAAAGTATCTAATGGTTTTCCCTCGAAGACAATCTAATAGCTTAACAATTAAATTTTTTATCTAAATATTTTTTGGAATTTATTCAATGGAAGAGAAGTCATGTGAAAATCTTCAAATCTTATATCTTATGCAAGATAGAAACTTTATTTAATGAAAACGATTGTGTGCATATTTTTAGAATTATTATTAGTAATCTTAAAGATTCTATACGGTTGTTATACAACAACAATATACCCAGTACTATCCCACACCGTAAGGTCTGGGGAGAGTTGTGTGTACGCAGACCTTACCCCTACCTTGTGAGGATAGAGAGGTTGTTTCCAATACGACTATTATAGAGGGATAATTTTACAAAGAGTGTGCTGCTATAAATATAATTGTTGCTGTTATAGGTAAAAAGTTGTTATACAGAGGTAAAATATAACTTAAAAAATCGATTTTGAGGAAACCTTGGTTTTTATAGTGAATGACTATTATATATGGATGCTGTTATAGAGAGTTCTGGCTGTATCTGTAGAACTATTGTATGTCATTAAAATTGCATTATCCATGAAAATCTTGTGATATACATTTATATACACAATATACACATTGGATATATATTATTACAACAATTTCAGCTATGAAATTTGACTCCAGACCAGTCCAAATTACCTATAGATTTTTTCAAATTCTGTATATAGCCTCATTTAGGTGTTTCTAATAAATTTATTTCACACCCACTCAAAGTAAAACAAAAACTGAAAAAGTATTTTTAGATGGAAAAGTAGAATTAATCTTGGACAAAAATGTGTCAGAAATGTAGCTTTCCGGCAACCTGCATATTCATTTGGCTATGGAGAACTATATTGAGAATTATATGTGTTATTGTCACGACCCAAACCCCCACCAGAGTCGTGATGTCGCCTAACACTGCTTGCTAGGTAAGCCAACAATTAAACAATAGCAATAATTACAATAATGGGACTAAATAATCTCAATAGTGGGATAATGATAAAAATATCTGAAATAACAGTAATAATGTTGCTACAACCATACAATGATCTAGTGTCAACGAGTACATAGCATTACAGAATACCAAAATACAGAGTCAACTCCTAAATACAAAACTGTCTGAATGATAGAACACTCATAGCAGAAATAAATAAAAGAGAATTTCAAGGTCTGCAAACGACATAGCAGCTACCTCGTAGTCTCCATAAGCTGAAATCAGTGCGAACTCTAGCAATCATCATGCCCAGTAGTACTTGAATCTGCACATAAAGTGCGGAATATAGTATGAGTACAATCGACCCTATGTACTCAATAAGTAATAAACCTAACCTCAGGCTGAAAGCAGTGACAAACTCGAAAAAAGGTCAGTGTCCAACACCAATAATCAATAATAACACATGATATAATGAAGACAATAAAGTAAACAACTCAAAAAATATCATGTTCAACTCGTTCACAAATGCGAAAAATTAGACATGCTTTCCAAGTATAACAGTCAAAGCCCAATCTTACTACCGAAAACACTAAAACATGAGTTTATCAAGGAAACCATGATTTCTAAACTTTCAATAATAGGTAAGATATTTCAGTTACCATCTTACATGAGAAAGATACATCTCTATGCCTACATGTCAAGTCAATAACATCACAGTGAAGCCATTAGGTATACTCACACTCAGCACGCTCACGGTGCCTGGCACAAGTACCCCTCCCTATCACACACACATTCACACTCAACACTGCACGGGTGCCTGGCATAAATGCCCCTCACTGAAGCACTTATATAACCTTGTGTCTGCGCTCAATGTGGATATCAGACTTCAGAGGGGCGGATCCTTGCCCAAGCGTTGATCAAATATAAGCCAACAATCAATATAACCATGCGACGAGCAACCTGATCTACTATAAATCACAATACGGCTCTATGGCCCACATCAGTCATCAACCACTCAAGTCTCAATGACTCACGTCTCATAGAACACAACCAAAATAGTATCACCTATAGAAGTCATCAACAACATGTTATATGACATATAAATAATGTACAAAGACCGAGATATAACATGCAAATGAAAAGTTATGACCAAGAATGTGATTACAATCAAGGCAAATAACTCAAAATAGCAACAATGGCCATAACATGTCTCAACAGGTAAGAACATAGCCTAGACAAGATTCCTAGCATGATTAATAGCTCAAGTACTTATACAAGTAGAGAAAAAAGCACAGAAATAACAAGGCATGATAGAAAACAAGTCTCAAAGTAGCCTAAAGTCTGCCCCGATCATGAATACCTCGGTGTACACATACACGTCCTTCACCTAGCATGTGCGTCACCCCAACGCATCTCAGGTATCATAGTCCGCAAGGATAATTACCCTCAAACCAAGTGTAGAAATGTTACTTATCTCAAAGCGCGTGAATCAATACTACAAAAATTCTTTCCCACGCGAATCGACCTTCGAGCGACTCGAATCTAGTCAAAACAACTTAATATCATCAACAAAAGCCATAGGAAACAACCCCAAACAATAAAGCTATGACCTTGAATCAATTATGCAAACCCAAAAAGTCAACATGGGGCCCGCACCCTGGAATTCGATAAAACTCATAAATTTCGAATACCCATTCCAATATGAGTCCAAATATATGTGTTTCATCCAAATCGGACCTCATATCGACCCTCAAATCATCAATTTTTTTACTTTAGAAAGGTTTTTACCAAAATCCTCAATTTTTTCACTTAGATTCACTAATTAAACGCTAAAATCAAGGTTGGAATCATGAATAAGAAAATATTCGAGTAAAAAATACTTACCCCAATCCAAATTGTGAAAATTCCCTCCAGAATAACCTAAATTCGAGCTCTCAATCTCAAAATATGTTAAAATAACCAAAACCATCGAAATAGAATACTTAAAGGTCTGCCCAGGCATACCCTTCGCGGACGCGGCACGTGTTTCGTGTTCGCGAAGCATAAAATGACAACTGCCTCCCATAACCCTTCGCGTTCGCGTCCATACACTCGCGAATGCGATGAACAACTAAATCAACCCTACGCGAACACGACCTTGAATTCACGAACGCATAGGCCAAACGCTCCCACCTCCCAGCTACTTCACGAACACGGTGCCCAACCGCGAATGCGATGAAGGGCGACTGCTCAACTCACATTAACCCTCCGCAAATGTGACTT